GTAGCAGCAGCCAGCTGCTATTGGCTGATCTCAAAAGGAAGGGTCTACTTAATTCTTGGACAGGAGACCCCCCCCCAAGGGACACAGAACTGCTGGTAAATGGGAAGTAAAAAAAGAAATTCTGTTGCCAGAAAAACTACATGGATGCATCCATAAAGTCAGTCAACATTAAATTTGACTGTTGCTTTGATAGCCTTGGCTGGCGATTAGCTGTTTCTTTTCTATCTAAGATTCAGTCCCTGAGTGTTTATCTTTGCAGGTAGGGCAGGGCAGGGAAGAGAAGGTAACAAGCACCTGGTTGAGGGGTGGGTGGGAAGAAAAACTGCCTTGTTTGGATGGTGTTTGGGAGGTAATGGAGGTGTTCTCAGTTCTTAAGAGAGAAAGCAATTCAAATTGACGTGTGACTCCTAAATAGCTTCCAGCTTTTCTGCTGACTCCAAATCTGAGTGTCAATTGAAGATTAAATTGGAACCCTTAGCAAATGATCAAAGTGTGGCAGCTTCCTTTTGATGGTATCCCTTTGGCACAGCATGTTCCAGCCACAAATGGGTTTGGAATTCCAGGGTGCAAAACACCACAAGCTGCAGGCAATCTTCATTCAGGCCAATCTAATTTCCAGAATTCAGCAGTAAAACTGGGGACCTAGAGAAAATGGGCCCTAAATTTCTCTTCCTCTGTTCTCAATCGCGGTCAAAACAAAACCGTCCCTTCTAAATGTTGTGCTGAGAGCTCCCAAGAGAGGAAATATGTAGCTTATTTCTCAGCAGCTTGGAAAAATGCATCATGCTAGCTGCCCCCGCTGGATTCTGATGTTATAAAATCATTCCACGAGGAGCTATTATGGTAAATGGGCAAGAAATCGCATGACGCAAGAGCATGTTTCAAAGTGGAATAGTTTTGCCAGTCAACAGGAATTAATTGCTTTTGGCCTTTAGTAAAGTGCCGCCTCCAAGCTGAGAAACCTGGTGAGGAGGGTGGGGAACAGGACAGAAGCAAAGAACCAGAACATGAAGTGGGAGAGAGAGAAATTATTTGCCAACAACTCCATTGGCAGAGGAATTCCATTGCTAAAATCACAGGAAAGCAAAAGCCATTTGATCTCATTAAAAAAAAAAAATAGAAAGTTATTTTGTTGTACAGTGATATCTTTAGACCAGAGTTCCCCAACTTTTCCAGTTTGGCGGCCCAGACTGGGAGGAGGGAGGGAAAGATGGGATGGTTTTGTGGAAGGTTTAGTAGCACGCATGCATGTGTGCATGCGTGAACACCTGTTGCTCACTGACTGGCACCACAAGTGATGTTTGTAGCGACGCTCACGTGAGTGGGGCCACAAACACCTGCACAAGCCTTGGTAGTACAGTGGTCTAAGGCACCCTGTTATTAAGCTGGTTATTAAGACCAGCTGCCTGCAATTACTGCAGGTTGGAATTTCGCCAAGGCTCAAGGTTGACTCAGCCTTCCATCCTTTCTAAGGTAGGTAAATTGAGGACCCAGTTGTGGGGGCAATAAACTGACTTTGTATAAATATACAAAAGGATGAAGGCTATTGCTTAGTGCATTGTAAGCCGCCCTGAGTCTCCGGAGAAGGGCGGCATATAAATCTAAATTAAAAAAAACAAAAAAAAACTGGGGCATCCATAGCAACACTTGCACGATTGGGGTTGTGCACTTGTGTCTGTGCACACACACTGGCCAGCTACTCACGCAGCAAGGTGGCCAATAGGCCGCAGCCCAGTAGTTGGGCACAGCCCACAGGTTGGGGACCCTTGTCTTAGAGATTTGTGTTTTTGTTATTCAGAAATTTTTAAAATTAAACAAGCTTTTTAATATGCTTGAAGGGCAGGTTTTGAAGGGTGTATGGGTGTTTGACAACTGTGCAGGAACTAATAAACAAAGAAACAAAGAAAATAGTTATGTCATTATCCTAACCTAGTGCTATTTCTGGAGATGCAGTGCTTAACCTGGGTTATGTGCCTTACTGGCAATTTAACTTTTATTTTGAAATATTTGAAATTAGCGTCACAGATTTTGTTACTTCAAAATGCATGGCTTCTTCCCGTACCCACAAACAGCAATAAAAAACTTTTTTTCATAATTTTTCACAAAGTCAGGAAATGCATATATATATATATATATATAATTAACAAGAAATTAATTAACAAGAAATTACAGGAAACATACATGGTAGTTGATAATCAGCTTTAGGCATATTGCATAGATATCTTCTTTTCCTCTAGGAGAAAAGGTTAAGTAAACCTCTGCAAAACTTCAGCCCATTGCAAAAAAAAAAAAAAAAAGAACAATAGAAGATAACACAGCCAACTAGCTGCTTATTTTGCAGAACTCTATGTACTGTACTTGTTCCTCCCTAGGCCTCAGGAGTGTTTTGATTTTGGCAAAGTTTTCCAATGATTTTATGTCTTTATTTTCCCGTTGGTCTACTACAAATAGCCCGGGACAGCAGAAGCTTTCAGTGAAGGCTGGAAAGGCCCAAGCTCTGTGTGTAACTCCCACTTCTTATTGTGCTGCCCTTATTGTGTGTTTTGTGTGTCAGTCAATGCATGGCTAATCCTCAGGTAACTTATTTCACACAGGAGGGCAGTTCTGAGTTAATTTGCTTTATCATGTTCTGATTGGTCCTCCTACAACTCTTATCTTGCTAGTTTTGTTTTGTAACATTTAATACAGTGGTGAAATCCAAATATTTTACTATCAGTTCTGTGGGCGTGGCTTGGTGGGTGTGGTGTGACTTGGTGGGCGTGGCTTGGTGGGTGTGGAAGGGGAAGGATACTGCAAAATCTCCATTCCCACCCCACTCTGGGGCCAGCCAGAGATGGTATTTGCCGGTTCTCCGAACTATTCAAAATTTCCGCTACCGGTTCTCCAGAACCTGTCAGAACCTGCTGGATTTCACCCCCAATTTAATATTGCTCAATTCCCGATACCAGCTCTTGGATGTGATGTGTTGTGTGCCAATTTCTCAATTCCTTTATCTCCCCAGCTATCAGTGATGTAGCTGGTATACCTCTACAGGCACCCCTGACTAATGATTTCCCTGTTTAACAACTACTGAAGTTACAATGGCCCTGAAAAGGCCAATTTACAACCAGTTATCACACCTTTGCAGTGCGCCCACAGTCATGTGAGATTTGGTCACTTTGCAACCAGCGGACGTACAATGGTTGCAACATCCTACAGTCACATGATCATCACTTGCGTGCTTCACAGCCAGTTTCTGACAACCAAAATCAATAGAGAAGTTGGCAGTAAACTAACTGACAAGACCCAGTCACTTGATGTTTTGCTTAACAAGTTTGGATGATCTGCTTAACGACTCTGCAGAAGTGAGGTTGTAAAGTCCATTGAAGTCACCTGATGTCTCACTTAACAACCACATTGCTTAATAACAGAATTGCTGATACCAATTGGGGCTATTAAGCGAACGTTACCTAGAGTACAGAAAAGCCTTTATTTATGTCCAATCTGTAGCATAAGATGCTCTTTTGACCAACATGATACTGCTTAAGCAATCCTACAGCAGCTGAAAAAAGAGAGCTCTCGTCTTCATCATCCTATTTTTTTTTCATAAAAAAATAAAAAGAAAGTTAAGCACATCTCAATTAAGCAAATCATTTTGGCGATGATTATCTATGCCAGGAGTCCCTAACTCCTGGCTGTGGCCCACTACTGGGCCATGAACCATTTGGATCTAGCAAACGCATGTGCACGTTTTTCATTTGCACAAGTGGCAGGAGCTCATGCCTGCTGCTTGCACAAATGGAGCTGCACAGAAATGTTTGCCCACCAATCACGCAGAACCATTCCCCCCTTGCCCCTCCCCCCTCCCCACCCCCAGTCTGCAAAGCTGGAAAAGTTGGGGAACTCTGATCTATGCTATGCATTTTGCCAATATCTGGCATAGTTTAATCCAAGGGAGCATCCATGCTTGGTGGTCTGCCTCCTTTTTTTTTTAGTTCTCAGAAATCAAACTTCCAGATATTGATGGTTAAGTGCCAAACATACAGGAAGTCCTCGACTTACAACAGTTCGTTTATGACTGTTTGAAGTTTACAATGGCACTGAAAAAAGTGACTTACGACCGTTTTTCACACTTATGACTGTGACAGTATCCCCAGGGTCATGTGATAAAAATTCAGATGCTTGGCAACTTGCTCATATTTATGAAGGTTGCAGGGTCCTGAGGTCGTGTGATCACTTTTTGCAACTTTCTGACAAGCCAAGTCAGTGAGGAAGTCAGATTGGCTTAACAACTGTGTTACTAATTTAACAGCTGTAGTGATTCACTTAACAACTGTGGCAGGAAAAGTTGTAAAATGGAGCAAAACTCACTTAACGAATATCTCACTTAGCAACAGAAATTTTGGACTCAATTGTGGTCAAGGACTACCTAAAAATGGATTATAATCAATCACATTAGTCCAGTGTAGATTAGTAGGTGGATGTTTTCATCTTCCCAGTCTAGGATTGAGACCGTATAACTGGGCCTCAGAGGATTTTGGGGCCTAGAATTTCTGGCTTCATGGTTTTGGGTCCAGCATCTTTAATCACTGCACCAAAATGGTTGTTGTATGCCTCTTTTAAGTTTACCACACTGAAACAATACAGTACAAAGCTAATCTGCTGAAAATCGCAACCTTGCTTATTTCGGTAATACCATTACCTCAAAAAAATGATTTGTTCCATCCATAATTTATTTCATCAGCAACATTATTGTCCTGCAAAGGAGTTTTTGCCTTTAGCTTTTCCAATGTGATGCCCTCCCAAAGTGTCAGATTTCAACTGATGGAATTCGGAGTGTTTTAATCCAACAATTCAAAAAATCACCAGATTGAGAAAGGCTCACTGGACCAGAAGGGCTGAGTACACAGTATTTATGTGCCCAGCAGTTTAAAACGAGAAGCAGCTGAAGTCTAGAGATCCATACAATAAATAAGCTGCTTTGCACTCTTGGGAAAAAAATGAGATTGTTATCATTATGATCTTTATCATAGTTTAATTATATTATTTCTCCTCACAATGTTTCATTTTTTGGTGGATTAAACTGATGAACTCCATCCAGATATTACTTTCTAAATTTCCTCCTTCCTCTTGACATATTCACATTTCTTCTTTGTATTTGTTTTGTGATGGCATCCTCATTTATTTGCTGTATCTCACCAGACCAGGGAAAAAGAAGAGAGAGAGTAAGGGGGAGAGGGAGAGGGAGAGGGAGAGGGAGAGAGAGAGAGAGAGAGAGATGTGTATCAATCTAAACTTCTTTCATGCTATTTGTGTCAACTGTTATTGTAGGGTACATTGGAAGAAGAAAATACTGTAGTACTGACTTTCTGTGCTTCAATTCCACTTCTACTACCCTGGCAGTAAGCTCTATAAATTTGTAACTGTTTATGTATAAGAAGTGCAAAATTGTGAAGGGTAAGTTATTATAGACATGCTTATGCTTAAGATCTGGATACCTGGATTTTTCTTGTCCCTTCCTTCTCCACTATTTACTTTCCTTACCTTTAAATCTCCACCAGAATAGCAAACTCAAATAAGAAATGTGCCTCTTCTTCCACTTGTCTGTTCTTTAAATCAGCCACTTGGGAAATTGAAAGGATTGCTCCTAAAAGTCACTCACAGCAGTCAAAAGAACCTCAGTCGACAGGGCTTTTAATGGAAGAGAGTGATGGGAATATTCCTAAAGGACTGTTAATGCCTTAACAGCATCCTTTAGAATAGCAATGAAGGTGCTTTGATGACCCTAAGAGATGTGTTAAAAGCAGGATTCCTCAGTGGAATACGCATATACCCACACTCACACACACACACACACACTCACACACACACACACACACACACACACCTACACATGTACCTACCAACAGCTGTTTAAAAATCTTACCCTTTTGGATGCAATTGTAACGTTTTCACACTTTAAACGGCAGTGTGTGCCTTTGCAACAAAGTGGAATGACCTGTTCTGATACTTTCATAATGGCCAAATCAGATAGCTTCCATTTATTCTGGGCCACTGATATTTCTGTGTTGGTTATACAGTAAGGTAAAGGTTCCCCTCGCACATATGTGCTAGTTGTACCTGACTCTAGGGGACGATGCTCATCTCTTTTTTCAAAGCCAAAGAGCCAGCGCTGTCCGAAGACGTCTCTGTGGTCATGTGGTCAGCATGACTAAATGCCAAAGGCGCATGGAACGCTGTTACCTTCCCACCAATAGGTGGTCCCTATTTTTCTACTTGCATTTTTTTACGTGCTTTCGAACTGCTAGGTTGGCAGAAGCTGGGACAAGTAACGGGAGCTCACTCCATTACGCGGCACTAGAGATTCGAACCGTTGAACTGCCGTCCTTTTGATCGACAAGCTAAATGTGACAAACTAGATGTGGTATAACATGTCGTACATGGTAAATATACACGATAAATTGGCTGAAGAGCTGGTTTGTAAAAATTGGCACAGATATCCTTTCTAAATTTGCTATGAGACATTCATATACAGTATATATCCGTTAAGGTAACAATGTTAAAATTCATCATCTACTTGACATTTCTATTTCTTTATTATAGTCTCATGTATCCTTAAGCAGCATTATTCTTCCACTGAAATTCTTGTAATGAGGTCATCTAAAGCAAAACTATGTAAGACAACTTCCCACTATCCTTTTATAGCAAAGTGTAGGCTTTCAGCTGGGAAGGAGGAGTGATTTTTGCATCTTGTATAGATATATAATTTGAAGACATTCATGGGAAAGAGGTCTGGCAGCTATCAAAGGGAGATTGGCAGGACACATGCGTCTCCCAGCCTACATTTTTTTTGCATGCCTGAGCAAACCATTTTTGTTGAAATTTTTAAATGGAGAATTGCTATAAATGACAAAGTCTGTTATAATTGATTTAAACACTTTGACAAAAGAATTCCACAACAGGATGCTGTGAAAAATAGTCTTATTCTTGGGATATTTCATTCCTTCTTCCCATCATATTTCATGAGCACAGACACTTTTCTCTTGTATGTTGGTATGGCTATTTCTGAAATTTTTACATACTGTAAAGTATGTAAAAAGGGAGCAGGTAACACAATTTCAAAGCACTACACCTGCTTTCACGTTTCCCTCCTATCTATAGACATGTTTCCACCATTTATGTATTGTATTTGCAGACCCCACTTTTTTTCTTACATTTTCGACCCTTCATCAGAGGTGGCATTCAGCCGGTTCGGATCGATTCAGGTGAACTGGTAGTAGCGACCTGAACAGGTAGTAGTGACTTGCAGTGGGCGCACCCGGCCACCTGGCCCGCCACTAGTCCCAGTGCTATGCTGTCCTATTTAGCCATGTTTTCAAGCCGTGTGCATGCATGGAAGCTGCATGTGTGAGCAAAGTACATGCGCGTAAGGCCGTGCTCACTCACATTTTCAGTGCTGGGCGAACTGGTAGATAAATTACGTGAATCCCACCCCTGCCCTTCATGTACAGTTTCTTCCTCCCTTCTCATAGCACTTTCTCTCATTCACTTTCTCCACTTACCCTTTAATCTTCCATTCTGTTCCTCTTCTAGGCTGGAAATTGGTTTTCAGGCAAAGTTTCAGGCAGAGTACTAGTACAAAAGACCCCTATTTTCCCCTTGAATTTCCATCCTAGCAGAGAAAGAAAAACAATAGTGATACAGCATAATATGAAGTTTGGAGGGATTCAACATGTAAAATAATCCGCTCGAGCAGGGTGTTGGACTAGAAGACCTCCAAGGTCCCTTCCAGCCCTATGATTTTAAGTTCATGGGTACCAGCTTGAAAAAGAGGAGTTAACAGGATATCTCCATTACAAAACAAAAATTCAACCTTTTCTTTTTGATCCTCTAGTGATCAACAACTCATTCCCTTTCACAGATACTGTGATGAGAAACCATAAACTGATTTTCTATTGAGGTTATATAATTAGTTTGTTTCTGGCCCCAAATACAGTAGGTGCTTGTCTCCCTGCAGTGGGATACTATTCATATGCTAAGCTTGTGACCTGCAGAAACCAGAGTGGGAAAAAGAACTCAATCAAATGATATTTGAAAATATAATTAAATTCCAAATGGAACATATGTTTTTTTCCTAAGAACAATCAGTTATTTGAGAGAGAAGAAAAATTCAGGAGTACTGTATGAAAACAAATGTATCCACATTTTTGTTTTCCAGGTCAGAAATTCAAAATAAAATGAGGCCGACAAACCACAACAGAGATGTTGGGTCAATAGCCTAAATGGATAATGAATAGATAGATGGAACTCTCTCCTGTGTTGGGCCTGGTTCACTGGGATTGAGTTCCCAGCAAGCAAAAGCCATAAACATTGTAGGAAGAGGAAATAGGTGGAAGAGAAAGGAAAGAGAAAGGAAGAAAAGGCTGCACTGAATAGACCAATTGAGGAAGGAAGTTTCCCACAATCAAAGCTGAAGAAGGCAAGCACAATCAGAAGGAACTTTTCAATGAGTAGGGTCATTTTTGAGAAATGTGTATGACAGACACTCATTGGGTACTGAATGATTCAGCTCCAAGGTTGCATTATTGCACTATTTATTTATTGTATTTCTTACGGCTGCCCAACTCCAATAAGACATTGGGTAGTATACATTAAACCCAATACATAGATTAAAAACATTAAAAGCACATAATTGCCTAGATCATAAGAACACTCCCCTACATGCAAAGACTCAACTGGGACTCCATAACCACTCTAATGCCAAGCCTGGGAAGAGAGCCAGATCTGAAGAGACTTCTGAAAACCAAGGAGCCATGTGTATCACTGAGGGGGATATTTTTCCAGAGGCAGGAGCTAAGTCAGAAAGATCACGCTTCCTTGATTCTTAAGATGACAGCAATTTTTAATTGATGGGACCTGGAATGTGACCACTCTGTCTGAATAATCAGGTGGAAAAAACTTATTACCGGTAGGGGATGACTTGCATCTTGAATTGAACTCAATAACCAACTGCAATTCATACAGCAGTGATGACACATGGACACAATGAGAAACACCCATTATTGCTTTGGACTGCTGCATTTTGAACCACTTGCAGCTTCCAGTTGGTCTTCAAAGACAGTCCCATGCAACGTGTATTGCTGTAGTCCAATCATGTGAGGACTAGGAGATGAATAACTGTCTTGAGGGCCTCCCAGTCAAAGAAAGGACACAAGTAGGGCACAAGATGGACCTGTACAAGGGCCATCCTAGCTATATCACCACCTGCTCTTTGAGCTGTAACTGCAAGTCCAAGAAGACCTGTACATTGTCGACTAGTCTTGAGTGTGGATATGGAATTTAAGACCAAATGTGAAAAAGTCACCTCAAGCAACAATAATCACTTAATTTTTCTCAAAATGGGGACAAAATCTGTTCCTTCCCATTTAAACCCAAACAGCTTCCAGAGCCTGGGTCAGTTCATTGACAACATCATATTCACAGCCCATAACTGGGTATGTATAATTGGGTTTCATACATACATTGATAATACCGAACCCTAAAAATGGTTAAACAGGAGGGATGAGACAGCCAAATCCTGAGGTACCACAGAAGTGAATGGCTGCTGGCACAATCTGTCCCCTCCCTCTCAGATGTCCCTGCCCAATTCAGCATCAAAGGCTGGCTTTTAGCTGAACCATTGCTGAGAAACAAGAGGGATCATGAGATTTGTTCTTTATTAGAAGTGTGTAACTTTTCCAGGCCATGGGCTATGCTTGGCCTTTGAGTGGCATGCCAGGGCTGGACTTGAAAAAAAGTTGGGGCAGGACAAAGGTTGAGTTGTGTAGGTAATATGACTCTTCATCAGGCATGTGCTTAATAATGCTATATTTTTGTCACATGAAAGCTGTCACATGCAACAGCTTGCAAAGATCTGTGGAGACCGCACCAGGGTCCTTACACAAATGACCTAAATTGATGTACATGAAGTAAACAAAATCTAATTTAATGTAAATTTTAAGTGTTTGTCCAAATAATACCATTGGTCTTGCCTGCTGTCTTGAGTGCTATCTACGGCTGGGCTCCAAACATTTTAGCAAGGGGTTCTTTGCCCGGTTGCTGGGTGGGCATGGCCATGGTGGGTGTGGCCTAGTCGGCCTCCTGCACCATGGCCTTGGGCACTGGAGGCTTTCCTCAGACCTCCGGGAGGATGAAAACGGCCTCCCCAGGCTCCAGAGGCCCTCTGGAGGCCCATTTCCAGCCTTCCCGAACGTCTGATAGGCCTGTTTTTTGCCCTAGCTGAGCCTCCATGTGCGCCCTGCACTTACCTGCATCCGAAACAGGCCGCGTGGAGACTCCTGGGAGGGGAGGGGAGGGGTGAGTGGGGCCAGATAGGAGTGGGATTTGGGGGTTCTCTGAACTGCACAGAATCTTAGCTAGAGGTTCTCCCGAACCCCTGCAAACCATCAGCAGCCCACACCAGAAATTATCTATTAAATGTGGGTCCATAGAATCTAGGTGTTGTAAAATTTCTGGCATTGAATTTAAATCGATTACTCTGCTTAAAGGCCTCCTAAAGAGTCTCAGGAGCTATGAAAAAGAAGTCTAGAGAGCACAATAGCTCATTTCTTCTATAGACCTAATGGAGATAGTTAATGGAAGGGCTTAAACCGCCCTTTTAGAGCCAGTTTGGTCTAGTGGTTAAGGCACCAGCCTAGAAATCAGGAGGTGAAGAGTTCAAATCCTGCTTTAGCCATGAAAGCCAGATGAATGATTTTGGGGCCAGTTATTCTTTCTCAGCCCAACGCACTTCACCAGGTTGTTGTTGTACGGAAAATAGGAAATTGGGTTTTTACAAATTGGGTTATTTGTAAAAATAATAAAGATGGGATACAAACAAACAAATAAAGAAATAAATGTTGGCAACTGTATGCATTTAATGGAAAGAGACTGGAAGCCCTCTGACCTGATCCTCCATTACCTTGGAATGAATACAAACACAAAGGCCTTTTTCTTGTGTAATGCCGACATAAGAGAGGGAAATAGCAGATGCCAATCCTATTTTCCTTAACCTTTCTGTGGATGGCAGGAAAGAATTGGCCTTTAGTGTACAAAAGCCCAGGTGCTACTTGACAGTCCATTTATAGCTTTTGTAAGGTCAGTGTGCCTGTATAGTTCGGACACAGCTGCTATCTTTCCCTTTTCTTTATCCTCGCTTTTATTTTATTTTTTTTAAAAAAAGCCTTAATCTGCCACTGAAGAGATTTGTAAAGCGGCCCAAAGCCTTAATTGACGCCCAGCAAGATTTGTCCACAGCTGAGTCACTGCTTAAAGAGCTGCCCTTTGTTGTATGACTCTTCCGTTGAACATCCTTTCAGAACTGAGTTAATTTTAGAAAGGTAGCATTTTAACTGCAACATTTAGCAGAAATAATATGTCACGGAACAGTATAAATGAGGTGGAAATAAATCACAGATGGGATGGAAATATTATCAGAGGGAGAATTGGACGATGAAATTGTGTTGTGGTGTTTTTAAATCTCAGCAACTTTAAGTCGTGTGGACTTCAACTCCCAGAATTCCCCAGGAAGCATGCTTTATTGCCTGCCTAATATTGAGACTCGTGGGATGCAGTGGCTCAGTGGCTAAGACACTGAACTTGTCGATCGAAAGGTTGGCAGTTCAGCGGTTTGAATCCCTAGTGCCGCGTAATGGGATGAGCTCCCATTACTTGCCCCAGCTTCTGCCAACTTAACAGTTTGAAAGCACGTAAAAAATGCAAGTAGAAAAATAGGGACCACCTTTGGTGGGAAGGTAACAGCATTTCATGCACCTTTGGCATTTAGTCATGCTGGTCACATGACCACGGAGACGTCTTCGGACAGCGCTGGCTCTTCGGCTTTGAAACGGAGATAAACACCACCCCCTAGAGTTGGGAACGACTAGCACATATGTGCGAGGGGAACCTTTACCTTTACCTTTTAATATGAGATCAAAATACAACCCCATCAGAACCAAATGGAGAACAAAATGGATCCTTTGCAGACTACCTGCCTAGCTAGATAACTGCTGTGGACCAGGACAGCATGATTTAAGGAATGCAAAAGCAGGATTATCACTACCAAAGTAATTTCAGAGGCAAATATCCTAAAACCATAGAAATTGCACTGGGAATTGTAGCCTAAAACATCAGATAACAGATTAACAGAATTGGAAGGGACTTTATAGGTCATCTAGTCCAACCCCCCATTCAAGCAGGAGACACTATACCATTTCTGACAAATGGCAGTCCAATCTTTTCTTGAAAGCCTCCAGTGATGAAGCTCCCACAAGTTCCGAAGGCAAGCTGTTCCATTGGTTGATTGTTCTCACTGTCAGAAAGTTCCTCCTCATTTCTAGGTTGAATCTCTCCTTGGTCAGTTTCCATCCTTGTCTGGCCTTCAGGTGCTTTGGAAAACAGCTTGACCCTCTCCTCTCTGTGGCAGCCCCTCAAATATTGGAACACTGCTAACATGTCTCCCCTGGTCCTTCTCTTCACTAGACTAGCCATGCCCAGTTTATGTAACCGTTCTTCATGTTTTAGTCTCCAGTCCCCTAATCATCCTGGTTGCTCTCCTCTGCACTTTTTTCTAGAATCTCAACATCTTTTTTATAGTGTGGTGACCAAAACTGGATGCAGTACTCTAGGTGTGGT